AGTTTATGAAAGTAAAAGCTTTCAATGTTTCAATGCTAGAAAGGTGGCAGGTCGAGGTCTAGGGAATTGTTGTGCTCAGTAGAAATACTTATTTAAGTTATTTCACACCTACAAATAAATAATACATACAATACATACATACATATACAAAAAAAATGCGAAGCCTTTTTTATGTGTATGACCTAGTCGCCTATTTCGAACTAAACAAAATAATATAATTTGTTAATAAAAAAATTGTTATTTTGTGATAACGCTTATAAAAAATTATAACAACCTTAGTGCCCTATAATTATATTCAATAGACTTTTGTGAATGTGTCTTCTTCTGTGGATTACCGTGGGTTGATGATAATCCTATTAATATTATAAGCGCGAAAGTTTGTAAGTATCGATGGATATTTCTTAGGCTTTGACGTACATCGAACTGAACGGATCGGTATGAAATTTGGCACAGAGATAGATAATAGTCTGGAAACGTAACAAAGAACACGTAGGCTTTCTACCCTGGAACTGTGGGTGAAGATGCTCAAAGAAGTCTAAAATAAAAGTATTAGTTTATTGTTCTATTGTTCTGAGTAGTTCCCTAGTCTGACTTTCAATGCGAACCGACCGTCAACGAAGCATTAAGCTACTTTACAACTTACATTATCTATGCACCCCTAATGATACCGAGTCACTCCACTCAATCATACACAAAGGTAAATTACTCAAACTATGCACAAACAGTAATTTGAATAGTAGAGCAAACATTGGAATTGTAAGGTAATTTTCAAAATGATACCGTGATTACATTTAAATAGAGCTTGTATTGGCTAATCATGTAATCTATTGTCAATAACCTAGGTAGGTAGATCAATTGTTGGCTTTGAAGTTGGTTTAGAGGTTTTAATCCTATTTATTATATTTATATTTTTTAATGTCAAACTTAAAAAAATACTTTTTATAACCATCGATCACTAATACGTTAAATAAGCTGTATGATATTCCTAGTCGAAACAAGCAATAACTAACTTTTTAACTAAAAGGTCCCCTTAAAAAGATATATCTATCCCATATACCATAATCTTCTTTTATCGGTGTATTACCAGCTCAGTGGAAATTGCCAATTCCCACAATTCTTTAAATCCTTGCAATTTCCACAATTTCTTTAAAATCTTTAAAAAAATGTAATCATTGTTCATAAAATCTACGCTTACTTTTGAAATATCAACCCCTTTAAGAGAGCTCTTTACCTAAACTAAAAGCTTTGAGGGGTGCCTAATGACCACGATGCCAGTGCATGGGGTGCCTAGATACAATAGATGACGGGAGTCGATAACTGTACTGCTTGGGCTCACAATGCCCGGGTTTATAACGTGCTCTGACTATAAATCCCATTGACTCGGTTACGGCAAGTGAGTTAAATATAAAGTTGTAACTTTCTTTACATTGTATATTCTAAGCTGGAATTAAGGCCATTCTAGTTTTAAAAAACTCATACTATGTTACTATGTAACAGTTCCGTATGTTTCAACGTTCATGAAATAAATTTACCCCTTAAAGTACTGTTACTAAAGCGTGCTTTCTTCACTAAGCTGACTGGTATTTCTAAATGGCACATAAATTCTGCTACGAAGCCCCGTAGCCCGTAGTCCGTAGCCCGATGCTACGAGAATGCGCTATGTAGCCTATGCTACGGATGCGGAGAGGGGAAAATTTGCAATTTATTATTGTACTCGTACTCAGCCGACCCGCGACCCGCCTGTTACCCACTTAGTAGCACTCACAAAAATATAAAAGCATTCCCTTTTTATTTCATTGCTTATTTGAATTTTCTGTTAATCTATCAATATTTTAGAAAACTACCAAATATGCTATAAAATGACGTATTTACAGATTATGTAAAAAGAAAAACTCTCAATAATGGCGTGGTAAAACAAAAAAAATATGTAATTTGCCACTAAGCCTTTATGTAACCGGGTTCATGTGAGAAACTAGCGTTGCGCGCGAATTCGATGTTCGCGTATATTTCAAGCGTGCACGAATTAATAAAGCGGTACGTTACCATGGGTGAGGATATTAATGGTCTCGTTGTGGAAGTAGAAGAGGCTGCCGACGCAGCCGGCCCAGCTCTGCAACGGGCGGTAGCCGGTCAGCACGTACGGGTTAAACTGCAGATGCTGCGGCATGTCCCGCCAGTGCAGCAGCTGCACGCCGCCAGACTCTTCACTGGCGCTGCTGCTGGCCCGCTTCTCCTCCGGCACACTCTCCCCCGCCACTTCTGCCCCACGCTCCTCATTATCACAGATACGCTCTAACGACTTTTTCCTCTTTTTAGGTCCTTTCCCGTTCACTTCTTGAATTGACATATCGAACATTTTTGTACATGTATCAGGTACACTCTGACCGTCTCTCATCTCCACAGCGAGCTAGCGCGTGTCGCGGGAGGCTGGGAAACGGATCCGTTCCTCACGTTGTGTACCCGCATGGTCCAGCGTCGGCTGAGTGGCAGAGCGCGGAGGTTTGTACAAATATCACAGTTACAGCATTAGTGTGGAGCGTGGGGTGCGAGCGGACGCTGGCGGTGCTACTTTTCTGTTATTCTCTGGTGGGAGAGCGGGCCGCGACGGCGCGGCGACTCGCGGCAGGTCGCGGGCTTGGAGGGCGGGCGCAGCGCGCGCGACTGCCCGGCCGCGCCGCACACCCCGGCTGCTCGCCTCACCCTGCTCCCCGCGCCCCGCACTTTTGCGCACTGCGCAAACCTGATCAGCTGATTCCCGCCAGAAGGTCGGCCCCTTAGCCTGTGCCCATTCCTTGCACTTTCACTCATTGTCCAAATGTTATAGTATTCCCTTTAACACACGCAAATTTATTCATACACGATTTTTTTACTGTAGTTAATAGTTTAGTTTTATTCAAAGCATAGTGCATACATAAATCAAATTCGTAAAATGGGAGTACGAATCGGCAATCGCCGCAAAAAAATATTTTTGCTTGTCTTTTATTTTCTTTCCTACTAAAAGTTCTCTTCTCGTAGAACTAAATTGGACTGATAGATGAGATGAGATAGAGATGTTTATTATTTATAATAAACATCATTGTAACTTAGCTACTTATAAGTAGCTAAGTTCTAACTCTAGTCTGCATTATAAACTAGCGACATCTCTGTTTGAAACATGAAAACGCTAAGATTCGCGGCTACAAACTGCTTAACTATTTTCAGAAATTATATATTAATAACTAAGGAAAGGATTGTGTTAAGTGCAGTACCTTATTATTAAAATGTTGCCTGCAAAACTGGAATCTGTTATCTGTCTGTGTGAAACCTTTTGTCCTTGCAGACGCAGAGGTGTAAATAAATAATGCCATATACTTACCTACATATTATCATCATTTTATTTACATTGTAGTTGTTGTCCATTGGTACTCCGGCGACTCGCCAGTTAAGTTAAAATTTTACAATAATAAGGATTGAACATATTGCCATATAACAGGAAAATGTTCGGAAATATTGAAAAAATCCCAATAATACTTTGCCAGGCCTGAGAATTGAATCCGAATCTCTTTTTTATTATTTTGATCGTCTTAGGAGGGAGTGTAAGACTCTTACTGACAAAAAAAGCAGCCCGTTCCTTCTTCCAGCGCCGCGTTAGATTATTTCGCTCAACCTGCTATTGCACTTGTAATTGCTACTTTAACAACAGGGATTACGTTGGTTTAATACTTTTGTTTTTTATGTGATAGGATGGGAAGCGAGCCGACGGGTTACCTGACGGTAAGCAATCAGCGACGCCCATGGACACCCGCAACAACGGAGGATAAACGAGTGCGTTACCGACCTTTTGGGGATTAGGGATTTGGAGATTTTGGGATTGGGGAAGAAATGGGGGAGGGAAAGGATTAGGCCTCCGGTGAACTCACTCACACGGCGAAACACAACGCTGTGGTTGCGAACGAAGCAGCCTATTTTTTTTATGGGCATGCTTTTTGATAAAATGTAAGAAATTTATACATTTTTTATAGAAACATACATGAATCCTAAAAACATAACACTCCTTTTTTGGCCAGTCGTGTATTAAAATCATTCCAGAGAATTTGACATTAAAAATTCTGCCTCGTCAGGATGCTAGGAGTAGGTATAGTGACGTCTAATGAATAGTACAGACCTAAGTCACTTTGGCTCACTTAGCGACAGAAGAGCGTAGCCACGAATTACATCTCTCTACGTAGTTGCTGGCTCGTCTAGTGATCGGGTAACGTCGCTTATGTAATGTTTAGAGTAGACTGCACATTCAGCCGCCATTTTTAATCAACTAGCTACTGTGGACTTGCCAAAATGCCACGGCCTTATCCATTATTACGAGAGTATAAAGTAAGTAACTAAACAGATTTTTTTGTACATAGATCCATATACTCCGTGTGAATTAGACACACGGTTTTTCTTTCTAGTCTAGGTTTACCATTGAGCCAGTTTTTGTATTTCAAATTGAAGGTACGTGTGAATGAGATTAAGATAAAAATACAAAACCTAACTCAATTATTTAAACCTAGACCAAAACTAAATCTTGTTTTGTAATAAGAGGGTTATTAGTGCAATAATGTTCTAAAACTGATAGAAAATAATAAAAAAAAATTACCGAACTGACGACGAGCCAGTTTTGCTTAAAATGGATTTTATCTCAGAACAGAAAACAACCAACTTGAAAAACAAAAAAGTGTTGTATAATTAAAATTATATTATATTTTTATATTTTAATACCACTCTTACGTACGTGAAGCTAATACTTTTAATATTAATAATAAAACACTATCAATTCTATGTTACATAGGTTTGAAGTCGTTCATCGTCATACGCTCAGCAGTGAGTGAGCGCTCACAGGCTAATGGTGGGATGAGATGTAGTGTGGTATATGTGGATTAGACTAATAGTAATTCTAAATATATGAAAAACGTTAAATAATATTTAAAAAAAAAAATATAAATAAAATTTATCAACATCGTTTCGATGCGACAACATGAACGCTTCTTTTAATACATTATGTTGGTAGCATCTAAATTGGAATTAGTTACAAAACATTTTGCTAGATGGCAGTAAAATCTTGACAACTTCCTGTGCAGTGGAATCTTTTTTATTCTTTTAATTAAAATTCTATCTTATACTTCTTATTAAAAATATTTATAGAGTGAAATGTATTTTATAATTTTTGTTTAAGTTACTCAATAAGTTTTTTACAGTTGATAAACTATTTTAATAATTTATCTTCATACGGAAGAGAAACTTGAATTACGATTTACGCCATCGCGCTGCGTTCAACCAACCAACAAGCATCTGTCTTGGATTCGGATCGATGTTCGGGCCTTTATTGCGAAGAAGCATACTTCAAGGTTCTGCATCGCGAACTTGGAATTGTTTAATTAATTTCACTCAACTACTTTGGTGTAAATTGAAATATATTGGTGAATTGAGGGTAAGTTAAAATAGATATGATTTATTATCAAAGCGTACTTAGGGCTCCAGTGGAGTCGTAGAGAAACCAACATGGCGCCAGCATGTAAAATGTAAATAACTTGTGACATTTATCGTAATGTCTACATGACCAAGGAATTGCATATTATGGTACAGCTCGCCGTGGTTTTTGTACTAGTAATTGCAAATGTAGTATTTTTCATAATTTTTGGCACAATTTTTCGCATTTGTTATTGCAGATACAATACGTTTAGTAGTTGCAGTTGCAAGTGTCGCAGCTGCGATATATTTGGCTAACTAGTATTCTGGAGTCAAGCTTTAGTTGATCGATCTAAAAATATACCTAGGACATCTTGATTGTGACTATGTTGTTGATATTAACTACTTTCAAGGCTAATCAACCGATACCCAAAATACGTCAATTGTGGTCGATACTTATTGAGGCTTATCAGTTATCAAAAGAGGTGTGCTTCGAGATACTCTTATAAGGTGTTATTTATTATTTACAGTAGTTGATTAGGCACGAATGAATTAGGTATTTTGCGGACACTTCATCATTTTTAAGCCTTGATTCTAGGTGACAACATATTGTCGATCCACTGTTAGACTTATTTAGCCATCTTACTATCAAACATAAGCTCAGAAATATTGTCAGTTACATTCTGTTCTCTGTCCATGTTGAACATAGCTTTGATCTCAAATCTCAGTCATAAACTTTTCTAGAATATACAATGCTTACTTATTCAAAGTGCATGCCAGTGTGAAGTCAAATTCCACTACGCACCTTTGACATATTGGTCAATGGTTTAAAAAGTTTATGTTTTTCAGCTTAAACCGCTCGGATACGAGTATTGGTATCTTTGTTATGGTAAGTGGAAGTACAAAAAGTACTTTCCTAAAGCATGTCTGTCAAAAATAATGCCGACTGTAATTAGGTTTACAGCATGTATTATTCTTGACAGACACATTTTTAGCATGTTTGGTTTAAATGGAATGGCTTGATGCAATGGTATAAAAGATCTATTAGAGGATCTCCTATGAAAGAATGTTCTAGATATCAAACTATTATAATACTGGTTTGACATGATTGTGGATCTCATATACGGAATCATTTAAACCTGTATTTTTTGTCATGATTATGTGTGAATGTGCATATTCATTTAAATTCTGAAGCAAATCAATAATCTTTCATGGTAGATACTTTGGTGTTGAATGTTTTAATTGAATGTTTACTACTTCTTATAAAACCAATCATCAATACTGGTTCACTGAACCTTCAGGTGATCATTATTCTACAAATCTATATGGTAGACCTATGTTTAACTCATTTAACCTGCCATTATAATTCTCATGCAATAGTAAACATCCAGCGCTCACATAATAACAAAGAAGAAGTCTTTCAGTTTATTTATTTATAATTTTTGCATCCTTCTGACATAATGAGATTAAAAAGACTAAAATAATGTATTAACATTAATACATAGAAACTGCCCTAACTGCCGTGTAAGGCTAAGACAAACAAGCCAATAAATTAAAATACTTAAATAAAATAATATTTAGAATAATGTAAAATAACATACTTAAATCAATTAAAATTTAGTTTCTGATTGTGTACATATAATTTTGTTGTTAGTTACCAATTGATTAACAACAAATAGTATCTGCTTACACAGCAAACAGCAATAGCAGCCATGCTTATTATGGTACAAGCACCCATTTAGTATTCCAGCTGCCAGTAATGTTAACATTTTTAGCGTGGCAGTCCACAGCTTGCTATCAATTGCTGATCTGCCTTTGAAAATGCTAGAAATGCTAATATTTCTACATCTTTGGAATTAATATGAAGAGAGGAGGAAGCATGTAGTGCACCAGATGGCAGTATGAGCAGATCATGCAACATATAACCATAGTAACATAACACTGCAAAAACCTAATAAACACATAATTTAAACATTATTAAAAACTACATGCATACATTTGTCATACTGGTGACATGTGACATGTTGGTAAACTCCTCACTATGCTTTCTAGAATATTGACGATGTTGGTGTATCCTGTTTGCAGATGCCGCGAACTCGTAGGAAGCACTATTCGTCTCACTCCAGATCACGGTCCCGCTCGTACGAGGCGAAACGCCGTCGCCTCGACGATGGATCTACAGAAGGATCTTACAGGAAGCGGAGTCGCAGCAGGGGAGAAAGAGACAGGTTAGTCCATAATTATGTTTTCATTTATAGTATATATAATCATTATATGGAATGTATATATGTAATTATGTACATCATAACTAGTGACTGTGTTTGAATCATATGAAATAGATGTCATAGGGGTCTTAATTTGTAAATTTCTTGTGTGTCTAAATTTTAAAGAGTTGCTATCCAGGACATTGCCGTGCATTCAAAATCAACTGGTAAAAAGTTACATTATATCTGCATAATCTGACACGAAACAGATTTACATAAAACTCAAAAAACCTATTCTTTGTACCAATGCTGCCTATTACACGGACCTATTTTGTGAATTTAAGTTATGATCTTTTAAGGTGAGTGTCAGATTCTTACTGACTATAAACCAGAGGGCCGAGGCTGCAGTGCCTCATTGCGCTTGCCCCGCAACTCTGGCAGGTGATCTCTTAAATCCTGAACAGTCAAATTGTATTAATATAATATCAATAATACCACACATTCTTTTCCCTATGTTATCATGTATTACAACATCTTTAACTGCCTATTATGTATGCTGGACAATAATGGGCTTCCTCTACAAACACCTTTGCTTAAATTCTGCTGGGCAGAAGGTCAGATATCATAGTTCATGAAAAGCCTCTTTTAAATTTGCCACATTAGTGCATAATGTGTGGGTGGCAGAGATGAGCACATATAATGTAACTTTCTTTAACTGACCAGTTTAGTTATGGGTAACAGAAAGGTGATATAATTGCATATTCAAACAAAGGCACAAAGTTCTTTATACTGCCATTTTACAACAGATTGTTTTCATATTGCATTTATCAATTTCAATTTACTCTATAAAAAAGAACTATTGTTGTTGTCCTCAGCCATACATCCTTTACTAATTCAATTATAGTTACTATCATTAGAATTTAAAATTCTTGGGTAGTTTTATATTATTTCATAGACATTAACAGTAACATTGTATCTGAACAACCTAAACGTAACTTATCCAAACCAAACATATTATTAATTGATCACATACTTCCACTAATCTATATGACATATTTTATGTCAGATTAACTTAATTACTAGGCCCATATTTCCAAACCAAACATTTACTGTTATCTAAAATTTGAACCAAAAGTTATCAATTTCAACTAGGTACACAGTATGCAGTAGGTATATTAACCACAATATTTTTTTCGAAGGAATATAATGCAAAGAAAGAATAAATTTTCGGTAATTTAGGCCATATGTAACAATAATGGCGGTCGCACGCGTCTCCACCCGGTTGGATATTTATTATACATTTTCGATATTACACATTTCCAAGATATTTTTATAATTTTCTTTAGGTGCAGACTACCACAACTAGGTTCAAGGTCTTAATTAGCCAAATCGGTAAAGGCGTTGATGAGTTATAACATTACAACGAAGAGTGGCATTGATTTCGATATATATGCGTAGATAACATTTTCTGTCTGACTACTCTGAGAAGAAATGTAGAATCAAATTCATTATATTATACTCTTATTCACATTAACGCGGGAGAGGTTTGCTTTGCATAGGTTTACACGAACATAATACACAGTCAAGCCTCATATTTTTGAAATGCTAATAATAATATAAAGTGCAATAAAAAATGGAAAATTTAAGAAATATATCTTCGCCTTTTCCTCATCAGCAGCAAAATCCGATTGACCGGCCAGCCTTACAAAAATTGGAGGCAAAATTGCAAACTTGAGTAAGATAAATTATGTTTAATAAAGCAAAAAAACACTTGTTATGCTTCAATCCAGACAGTCGTTCTCAAGCGAGGTCATCGCAATTATGGTTATAGTAGCGACATCTATTGGCTCGGTATAGTTCCTCGCAGTAAGCTGAGGCTGATATGTATTCAATTTTGTACGTTACGGCTACTCGTCGCTAGATGGCGATAATAGTTCCAAAACAATATACCTGAGTAACACTATTTTGCGTTGAAATAGTAGTAGTTAGAGTGCCTAGTACATATAAGTTTAGCTTTAACGTGATTGAATTCGCGTTTAGCCCTCTGATTGATTGGTTAACTAGGAGCAGCCTTCATAAACGTGTCGATCGCGCTAACTTAAAGCAAATTCGTACTACGCTCTCCGATGTCTGGAGACCAACTACTTTTTCATGAATTCACGATTTTTCATTGAAAGTTTATCTTTTTAATAGAACACAAAAACGAGAGTGATACAAACCATTAATTCTTCCTAGGACTTAATTAATGTTGAACCTTTGTTGTACCTTGTTGTTGTACCTTTTGCTTAAAAGAACCTACCTACGTACTTCATCAGAGATTTATTTCGTGCCCTATATTTTATACATAAGCAACAGTTACTATACAATTTTACTGCCTGCTTATTGGCTAGAATTGAGCGATTTAGGGCGGCTTGCGCATCGTCGTTAAATACAGTTTAAGAGCGACGTAAACGCATTTAGTCTGCTAATTATATTTAGCGTCTTGCACAACAAAAATTTAGGCACTAATCACGTTTAACGAACTGTCAAAGTTAAATACCCAAAGATGGCTATTTAGCGTCGCTAAATACGTTTAGTAGCAATCGCGCGTCATCATTTTGAGGTTAAAGAAATTTTACGATTATTTTAAGATTATAAAGAGTTCGGTAGGAAGTTTGTAAGATGGATTTGTGGGAATTATATTCTGACGACGATGAGGAGATTATAGAATATATCAACAATAGCACGAGACGCTTCACAAATCACAACAAAACTTTGAGTGACTTGACAGCTCGGTTGACTTGATGTGACAGTTGAAAGCTCGTCGGTCCATTTCACGATTTTTTTTTAAGAAATGCATCCATTTTGCTCTAAATCAAGTGTACAACGCACGAAAACGTAAAAAGGAACGCAAGTAACTGCTTTACCGACTCCCTAACTACGATTAGTTAAATTACTATCCAAACGGACGTGAGCAAGACCTTTTTAATTGTATTTAGGCTAAACATATTTAGCAAGATAAACGCATTTTACTAAATTCTGTTTAGACCACATGTTGCGCAAGCCGCCCTTAATCTTCTGTTTATTTACGCAATAGATTCCGTATTTATTTCTTCTAGTGTAGGCATTAATCATATTTTACTTTTTCATGAAATAAGTAAGCAACATTAAATGTAAAAATATATGTAAGTACTTGTTGTATATATTATGTATTTATAATTTTCCTGTTTTTCGTGTAAATACGAGGTAATTGAAAGCTTAATACCTATGATTAATTGAGTTAATGGCCATTCTATTGCTAAGTTACTGTTTTCCTTATGGACTAAAATGCGCAATCGTAATGGAACCTAGACTTATGAACATACATACGAAGTACTTTTTGCTGTACTCAGATTTACTTCCTTATGTGTATGTAAATCCATAATACACACGTAGATTTGTTGAGTGGAGCCGGAAAGTTCCACTAAAATATAAGCTTTAAAATTGTATAAATACTAAACCTCCATTTGTATCATCATCATCGTCAACAGCATTTGTCAGCCCACTGCCTTAGTTTCGACGTTTTCAGAAAAAGAGGAATTTGTCACAGACTCAACGCTTAGTTACAGTTTACAAAAATCATTAAAGAATGCTGCAGCTGGGTGAATATTAAAAATATATAGTCCCGTAGATTCCCCCGGGAATAGTACATAGGGTATTCTACAATGTGGAGTCACCACACGGCTTCATTGTGATCTAACTGCAGCTTCGACCTTAATGAAATTAGAAAGAAAATTTTAGCATAGTTTGCGGTGTCTTTTGCATCTTCATACTTAAATGTATTTTCAAAAACCCCAGCTACTTCAGCAGCTGACAAAATCCAGTTACAGCTCTTTACTAAAAATCTCGTTTGTCGTTTTGCTGTTAAAGATGACATTGGTGTTTTTGGGAGAACATATGCTTACAATATGTTCATTACCGACCGTACTCTCTAACGGAACTCATCAGATGAATTAGAATGAAATTAAAAAAAAAAAAACTTGGAAACAAGCTTTCACCTAGCTGTTTAACTTATTTAACCACCTTTAGTGTTTACACTTAAATACATTTTTATGGATTCAGAGCAAAGCAATTAAATGCAAAGTAAACGTGTAGGTATACAAAATTTCATCTCAATCGGTTGAAGATATCTGTTAGAAAAAATATTTAGAGCTGCAATATTCCACTTCACAAATACGTAAATTGCAAGCAATGAAAGCTAGAGACAGAAACTTTACGAGAAGTTGACAAGTTAGAAAATCTGTCTTTTTATATCTCAAATAGAATAAACCGAACCAGTCTCCTAACTTCTAACCGGCGCAGCCATACGATTCTTTAAAATTTAATTTTCAAACCAACTTCAATATTCTTAATAACAGCGTTTACGAAATATGCGTATTAAACTCAGTTGATAAAGAGCACATATTCGAATGCAAAAGATGGTATTGAGCTAAACTAACGGTGAGGTCCAGGTAGGTACGGGTTAGTGTACGGTATCTACAGATTAGGGCCCGCTGTCGGGGCATAAGTCATATTGTGGGGAGTCGTGCAAGGTGAGTGAATCGACCCCGCTCCCAAACCACTACTGATCCTTACGGGACTGCGCGCTCTCAAGCCATTTTCATTTAATCTTTCGTCTCTTGTAGTTTGTACAAGGTACCGTACAAAAGGTTAACAGGAAAACTCCGAAAATATTAATTATTTATTACGACGTTGAAATACATTTACGTACCCCAGTTTACTTTTAGTTTTAAAGATCAATGTGTCATCATAATGTTCGGTAAAATAATTATTTGCGAACAGCCACGTCTTTGTTCTCGTGGTCAGCATAAATAAGAAATTATCTCGCCATTGCAATCTTGTTTCTTTATGTGCACGGAGATCATCTCAAGCGTCAGACACAAGACCGCTACAAAATTTATGTCGACGTGGCTATACAACGATAAATAAGTAATTTTACATAGTTACCATAAAAAACGTTGTGTGCAATATCGAGTTTGGCGGCATCTTTTTGTTGGCACTTGTCA